TCAATCCGGCAAAAGCAAAACGCCAAAACCATGTAGAATAAAAGGGAGGGAGCCTTAAAAAGAAAAAACAAAAGCCGATCAGTCATCAAGAATCACAACCAATCCTCATTCTACCAAGGAAATCACTGTAGCATATGGGTTTTCTACAATGTATTCAAAGCAACTTAACACTGACAGTAGTTCGCGACAACAACCGTAAAATGAATATTAAACACTCGAAGGCAAAAGATACCCACGTTCGGACAGTACTTGGCAATAGCATTGCAGAGTGATTTGACGATGCCCGCATTAATGTTAAAAAGATCATCACGTGTCATTCCAGGCTTTCTGGGCACACCAGCGGGAATAATAACAACATCTGATCCTTCCAAAGCCTTCCCAAGCTCATTTTCACCTTGGTATCCGGCCACCTTCAACTCCAATGCATAAACATCTTATTAAATTATACTACAACATCAAAGTACTGTAAATTCCACACTCTTATTCCGTACTCTCGCGAATTCCACAAAGAGATGAACAAAAAAGTGTACCTCAGATCTTGTGTTAATGTGGCTAACATCAGCCGCGACACCGGGGGTTCCAGCTATATCGTAAAGTGAAAGTCTTGAGACATGGGGATTGAGCTTCATCAACAATGATAGGGGCTGACCAATCCCACCGGCGGCTCCGAGTATGGCCACTTTCCGTTCAGGGATTGCATCGCTGGAATACCCACGGCGTGCAAGAAAAGAGGAGCCACGAGCCACGGCTGAGCGTAAGGATCGGAGCACCGACGGGTTCACCATTGTCTATCGTAACTTTCCGAGAAAAATGCAAGAAAATACGAGTGCCGGAGAGGAAGTGAACAGAGGGTTTAACAATAACGAGCCAGTTTCACGGGTAACAGTAATAAAAACAAGAACCGAGTCGAGTCAAGCTATTTTGTTCTAGGAAAAAATAAGCTCAAGCACTTATACGTACTATGTTAAATCTTTTTATTACATATAATTATGTGTCTTTTTCATAAAAATTTGTAATTAAATAATATTAAATATTAATATTTTAAAAATAGAATGGATTGAAAAACTTAATACAATAACTATTAAAAACTTGATGTAAGTATTATATACTGTGGTTGTAGATAATTGGGACAAAATCCATAAAAAAATTTTAGATGCTTCTTTTTTTTTTAAATACTCCTCCGGTCCTTATTATAAGACCCAATTTTGACTTTTTATTGGTCTTAATTATAAGACCCAATCCATTTTCTCTCTTATATTTATGTATTTTTTTCCAAGATAATCCTTCTAATAATGATAGTTTTAGCCAATATACTTAATTAGCAAGGATATTTTAGGAATAACAACACTTATTTATTATAAATAACCAACTTAACTTACTTCCTTAATCTCCTCAAATAAGTCAATTGGGTCTTATAATTAGGACCGGAGGAGTAACAATTTGTAACAGGAGCTATTACATGTCAGCACCAAGAATTATAGGATTCCGAGAAGCATCTCGTTGAAGAATGTCACGTATGTAGTGCTTGTTTGGATCAGTAATTGAGACTCTAATGTCTCGTTTGGTAAGAAGCATTAAAAATTACGAGTAGGAATTGGGATTGGTATTAAAAAAATCTATTAAAAAAGCATTTAGTATAAAAGATTACTCACCATATGGGATTAGTTAAACCCATATATGTAGGATTGGGGAATACCATGGGCGAAGTAGTATTCTTCAATCCCACATCTATAGATTTATCTAATCTTATATAACAAGCAATTAATCATACTAAAAACTATTTCAATGATTTTTTTCAATCGCAATTACAATATCTTTCATTTTTAATGTTTCCTATCAAACGGGACATAAAAGTTACTTTATTTTTCTAATAAGCCCATTTGGAAAGTTGGAGGGTGTTTGGCAAAGCTTATAAGTCATCTGACTTGGGTTCAAAAAGCTGGATTGAAACAAACTTTTACATAGACTAATATTTGTAGGGCCTGTTTGGGTTCACGTTTGGGATCCCAAACGTGCATCTCAACATGCAAAAGCTCCTTTTGTGTTAAAAGTGATGTTTGGCACACTGTTTTTGCAATTTGGCTTCTGGGTCTAAATGGACTTTTGGGATGAAGCTGATGGATCTTGTTTTTCACAATGAGAAGAATACCAGTGCGTGAAATGGGAAGGAGGTTACGGGTGTGTTGAAATCACATCTGGACCTTCAAACTGACTTCTCTACCGGCAAAAGGAGCTTTTTTGATTTGGGATGTGTTTTGAATCACATTTTTGCAATCTGACTTCTGTCACTGAAACGGACTTATACAATAAGTTCAAAGAAGCTGCTTTTATCTAATCTGACTTCTGTAAAAGTCAGATTGAAAAAAAAGTTACTTCACTACCGCTAAAAACACACCCTACAATATTTTAAGTTTTTCCTAGCGTTATGGTTCTTGTTTTATTTGCAGTTGTAATATATTTAATTAAGTATTTTATTATTTTTCAATTTCCTTCTAATAATAAATTAAATTTTTGTATTTTTAATAATTTTATTTTCAATACTTCTTTTAAAATGGTCACATTATATATATAATTTCTTTCTAATAATAAATTAAATTTCTTTACTTTTAATAATTTTATTTTCCTTATATATATAATATTAGATATGTATTATTTAATAAAATTTATGTCCTTTTAAGTCATTTTGCATCCAAATTTATTTTTGTATTTATCATCCAAACAAGTTTAAGCTTCTTTAACTGATTTTTTTACAAAAACCCAATCCAAACATAAATCACATTACCCTATCTGACTTTTATTCAATCTGATTTTATGAAAGTCAGATTGAAAAAAAATTACTTTTGTCACCGCTATTCCAAACACACCCCTATCTTATGGAAATCAAATCGGGCTTACCGTTGGAATTGTATATGCAGGCGGGGTCCATTGGAAGGTATCAGTCCCACGAGTTGTTGACTGTTCTTCAGAATTAGGCCCACCATCCAATTCTGACCTGTCCTCTTTGTTCATTCCCCTCTATCAACCAATTACTATTTGAGTACCATTGGGGTAACTGTTGTTCTTTTTCTTCTTTTTTAATTTGATTTTGTTTAATTAATTAAAAATTTAGAATTAAGCAGTAAATTAAAATATAAATTGTTTAAATATAATAATCTAAAGAGTTCAGGTTATGAAAAATAGTAGTAAGAATTTACTCTTTTTCGATATGAATAAAATTTTTTCAATTTTTTATATTTTATTTGTTGAAAATTAGTATACTTTAAATTATGAAAAATGTATGATATTCATATTCTATAATACGTAAAATTCTTATAAGTTCATTTACAAATTTTATTTAACAAAAGTGTATTTTTAAAAAATTGTCTTTTTGAGGTATCTCACATATAAAAGTTGTCTCAAGTTAAAAAAAAATTATATAAAATTTCTCTCGGTAAAAAAAATTGTATTTTAAAAAAAAATATTACTTAGTTGAAGTGAGATATCCAACCCCAAATGGATATCTAGGTCCAATACTAAATTAATTTTAATTCATTATATTATGTAAAATCATTTTTTAATCATGTTTCATTGCTTATTAAAACTCATACCCATTTTGATAATTTTACAAACTTACTTTTACTCAATCATAATCTAAACAATCTTTTACTAATCTCATTTTTACAAACTAGCTTTTCTGAATTTCAATCAAAACCCAATTCAGTTTATCCGATTTAACTTTTATCAGCTTTACTTTTTCATAAGCCAAACTGACAATAAATACCTTTTTAATTACTAATCCAAACGGAGCCTAGTCTGGTGGACTACGAAAAGCAGCAAAATCAACCCCCATATTACGTGCTTGTGCGGCCAATGCCTCCGCCACGGTGTTCACGTCTCACGAACAAACAACCACTTCAACCTTCCAGTCCCAATCCATCATCTGCTGGATTCCAACCAGAACGCTGTAATCCGGATGTTCAGAAGGAATGGAAGATTGAACAGGGGTGATTAAGTCAGTACAATCACTCTCAACGATCAGCGACGCAAGTCAGTATGCATAAAAATTTATCATGTTTTTTCGTCAGTAAAATTTCTAATGAATTTTTCGGCTAATTAATTACAGATCATAATAACTTTATTAACTCTCATATTTTACAATTTACAATATTTTATATTAATAGTTACTTTCAAAAATGAAAATCACTTTTTCGAGGACTATTTTTATATATTTATCTCTTACAATGCAAAATTACTTAAAATAAATTACCCAAATATCCTAAAATATCTGCAATAATATAAAAATCTATTTAATTAAATAAATTGGTCAATTGGCAGAATGAATTTAGAAACTGTTGTTATATCCAAAAGGATCACTCATGACTCCTTCATAACCAAGTCTACAGTCCAGGTAAAAAAAGAATAAACAAAACGAATACTTTTTTTTTTCCTAATAACAAAAACAGGACTTCTTCACAGCCTAAGTCTACAATCCAGAGAGTAGATAGAAAGTAAGTACACAGAGGGAGTAATCAATGACAATATCACAACACCGTCTTGGAGTTGGAGGTTATTCGGATCCTCCATTTCAGTAGTAATGCACTTCAACGTAGTGCTGAGCTTTCCACGTAACACTCACTCACTCACTCACCCAACAAATTTGCAAAGAGAATGGATTTAAGGAAAGAAAATAGAAAGAAATGACTTTGCTTTTTGTTTTTTAATTGCATTTTTGTGAGTTTCTTTCTAGTTAAGGAATCAAATTTGATTTTACTTCTATATTTTATTAACAAGATGCCATCAAGTTTCCTTCTAATAAGGAAAACTAAATCTAATTTTACTTCTATATCTTATTAGCAAGTTGTCATTAAGATTACTTATATGAAGAAAATTTGATCTATGTATAGGAGTAGGCAACATATGCAACTGCAATACATATACTGCCTACTTCTATCTATAGATCAAGATTTCTTTCATATAAAATAACCTTAATGACAACTTACTAATAAAATATAGAAGCAAAATCAAATTTGGTTTTCTTGAGTAGAAAGAAAAATTAAAACACAAAGCAAATTCATTTCTTTCTATAGGTTTCTTCAAAATATACGTATCATCCTTATGTTCCATCAGTTTTCTTCAGCCTACATGTGCTGATCAACTTCTTTCCTACATGCTATACCTTTCTCAGCTTTTGTTGACCAGTCTCTCCATTTTGAACATTTCAGCGTTTCTTGATTCTGGCATCTGACAACAGAACATAACAGATATGTCACAACCTTATAAGCTACAATGAAAAGTTCGGATTCTCTCTCACTTCTCAACAAAACAGTAATAAAGCCCGATTTTGGCAATGACTCGTGAAAATGTCATGAAAGCCCTTTCAACCTTTCAACAAATCAGAGCCTGATTTCAGCAGTAACTCATTGTAAAATACCAAGGAAAGCTAAGACTAATAAAAGGTATGCTCCCCCGTTTCCTAACAAGAAGTATCAAACACTTGCATTTTGATATGAACTTGTGTGAAGATATGATTGAAAGCACAGATTGAAGCCCTTAAATGTATCTCTACCCAAGAGTTTATCCTTATGCCTCAACTCTCATTAAAAAAATAATAATAATAAATTTATGATATTTGTTAAGACGCTTGGAAGATGCAGAATATAAACTGATAGAAGGGAGAAGTTATGCGATAAAGTTGCCTAATATTATTATGGTGATTTTTTTATCTAAAAATAATAGTCGGTAATGAAAAAAAATATGCACTAGTAATCGGTCACTTTGACATGAATTAAATGCCCCACTTGAGGGTTTTATATGATTATTAAGGACCTAAAGGCCCTTTAGTAAAATTTTGAAATTTTTTGTCCTCGAAATTAAATTGAAGCTTGGGACCCAAATTGTCATTCCCCAACCCCAAACCAACAAAAATAAAAAAGTAAGAAACTCTCAAGAGCCTGCAGTAGTTATGAAGAGCATCTCTCAAGGTCATCCTCAAATGCACATGTATTTGGAGAAGAAAAATAAATGTTATTGGGCACAGATATGTAGTTTTTGTGGATATAAAAGAAAAGAGTAATAAAAGTTGAAGCACTTTTAAACAGGACCTAAGCCTAAGCAACACCATTAAGCACAAACCTTTACGTGCAATCTGAACAGCATTCTTCTTTCTTCAATAATGTCAAAATTGAGGCCAGTGTGAGGGAATGCAAAAGGAAACGGACCATTGGTTCATTCTTCAGTCTTTCTTATCCACTCCAGAATACGAGAACAATCTTCATCTTTCATGAAATGCCTTCATAAGAAACTTATTTGTTAAGCTCTTTGCATCAATGAAATATAATTATTACCATTATTCCGTCTCCGTGAAAGTATACCTATTTTTTGTGCGGTAAGACTTAAGTTGAGCAGCTTCTTGGCGATTAGATATATCTTTAGACATTCTAAGGTGTTCAGGCACAACGAGCTTTCCACTCCAATCATGATATGCATTGTTAATGAATTCAATAATTGCATCCTGCCACAAGTTGTTCATCACACGATCACCACGATAAAACTATATGAATGAAATAACACAACTGCATAAGGAGGGGAGGGGGAATATAAACAGAAGGAAACCACTAATTTGAGGGAAAATTGATTAACTTGAAATATTATATAAAAACATTTCTTGTACTATCCTAACAAGTGTCAATTACCGAAACACAATATAAGTAGTTGCACGCGGATCATTAACTATGCAAAGCAGATTATAGAGCAACAGCAAGCGGCAAGGAAGTTTTATTACCAGTGGCTTGGAAGCATCGAGCCAGTGGTAAATATGATCATTGCGAAACCATGTCAATTGTCTTTTTGCAAAATTCCTGCATGGAAACAAAAAATACAGGTATCTATATCTCATCACTGGGTAGGGTAATCCAGCAACAGTCTATCTCATTCACATCAAGAAGAATGCCCAACAAAGCTCTGGGAAAGTAAGAAAATAAATGCTCTCCAAACACAATAGTCAAACACAAGCTACCACATATAAATATTTATTAAATCAAAGCAGTAGAAGATATTACAACAGGCGAACAAATCGTTCATTCAAAATTTTGTTCATAGGATGCCAAGCCTGTGTAATATCCGATGTCCTACGACATTGAAATGCAAAAAGGTTATCATCGGAAGATGGAAAATTTATATTTGTAGGTTCATATGTCAAATCAAAAGCCAAGCTCCTAAACTTATAAAAAGATTATGAAAACAGCAATCTTCACAAAACTGCATCACCCCGAACTTCAGGTGATCCTTTTCTGATATTGATTAGGCCAATCCCATTGAAAAAGATTACATGTACAGATTGAACAAAGGCCATTACCTAGTTTCTTTTTGAAATTCAGATAAAAAATTGTAAAATTCTTCAGCTGAACTCTGCCCTCCATGTCGTTGGCATCTAAGTAGGTATTCCATAGCCTGAAATTATATAGGGAAATATTAGAATATATCCAACAATTTATATAGCTGTTACAATGACCAAATGACAAAAAATACTCAAGAAAAAACATATTGCGAATATCATCAGCAGGATAGTCTACTAGTTATCATCTGCACATTGTAAAACTTCAATGAAAATAGACAAAAGAAACAATATACTTGTCTATAGCCGATTGCTCGTGTTGCAGAATTGGAGTTGGGATGAAGACCCAACTTTAGAAGCCATCGAGCCTCAGACAGAATCCCATCCCTTCCTGCAGTTTAAAAAAAGCCAAGACACCAAGGAATGAGTCGTATGTTAGTGCAGAGCATGTACACAAATGAACTTCTAATAACATCTAGTCGTCTACCAAGACTTGTAAATTATTAACCCCCACAGGAGGCCAATTACATAACCAATACAGGAAATGCTGCTTAACGGAAACCACAGAGAAGAATGTACTACAATATATATGGGAAGCATAATTGAATAAAGAAAATTCAGATAAACTTTTCATACATTTTCTATTTAGATTTTTCAACAAAAACATGACAGTCAGATCATTTTGCAGTTGTCATATTTTTATTGGAGAGTTGAACACAAAAATACAAGGAACTTTATTTGAAACTAGTCCTTGATGAATTACAAATAATGTCTTTCCGGCTCACAAATCACATATACCTAATAGCATATCTTCACACCGCTGGTCGATTGTTTTATATAGGTCAAGCCTCTGACTAGAAAGGAAAAAGCATATGAACTCATAAGGCAAATCTGAGAACTTGGAATCTTCCACTGAATTGCCAGAAATTTTGACATCGGAAGATTCAAAACCATTGGTATCACTAGAATCACCCAGTTCCCTGAAAGAATCATACGGCACCCGAAAAGCAGAAGGAGGTGATCCACTAGACTGCCATTCCAAAAGAATATAAATGAATGATAAAAAGCATATTGTAAGGATATCCCAGAGAACATAATAATCTAGACCTCTGAAAAATAATAGATGACATATACATCCCCACAGACCATGGAAGTATGATTAGTTTATTAATAATGAACAGTAGCTAAAGCTAATAATTTCGGAAATATTCAATGGCAATGGAGCCACAGTAAGGTACTTCTTTATATACTCATTCTTGCTAGCGATGTAACTGCATTTGTCCTCATTA